TAGAAAAACTTAGCCTTCAAGTTCAACACAAACAAATATCAATAAAGAGAGTAACAGATTTGAATTCATGACCTACAAGAGAAAGATCAAAGACAACAGTGAGTCACTGACCTGAATTTCGTTAATTCTCTGTAGATCATGTTTGTTGTTCAACGGCTGTACAAGCATTCTCTATCTGAAAATAGAGCTCGAATGGAGGCTCGTATCTATATGGCCATAATGTACAATTAGCGCCTCCAAGTCCAACATACGTTATACATAGAGAACATAATTCAAGAGTAGCAGTGCTCAATGTGCCTAGAATGTCATAAATAGCTAACAAGCGTAACCTAAAAGCAGATAATGCCAGTTTAACAGTACATGTATGAATTGGCAACCAAATTCTTGAAAATAAAAGGTCAAGATGCACTCTCTCTCTCTCTCTCTCTCTCTCTCTCTCTCTCCCCTACCAAAATGCAGAAAGACGGATTTCGACTACTCTGAAATAGTGAATCAGTATTACGAGGAATGCGGCAAACAAAAATTGTACTCACATTCTCCACCTAAAACACAGGCAGTGAGGTGCATCACTGCTTCGGCTTCCCAATCTCAAATTTGCTTTTAGACTTCCAGTCAATCGCAGTGTTCGAAAAGTCGGCCTAGGCGGGCGGCTAGGCTGCTAGGCGGTGGCTAGGTGGCCGCTAGGCGGCTAGGCGGCCGCTAGGCGGCTAGAAGGTCGCTAGGCGGTCGCTAGGCTGTTAGGCGGCTAGGCGGTGGCTAGGAGGCTAGGTAGTAGCTAGGCGGGCGCCTAGGCGGGTTGGGTCTTTTTTCGGTGCCGAACTTGGAGGAAGAAGCAGTGACTGCGAGAGAAAGTTCCGTTCTCTGCGAGTGCAAGCTTCGTGTTCCTTCGAATATATTTAAAGAGTATAGCCGTTCGGCTGTACTGTTAAAATATTCGAATGTAAGTAGAAAGTATAGCCGTGCTAGACGCATGTAAGTAGAAAGTAAGCAGAAGCCTCAGGAATATGATTTGATGTGGTAGAAATAGACCAGCTTGACCAAATGAGAATACAGTATGCTGATTATTTGCTGATATGCTCTACGTTTTACTTGTTTGGCAGATTGGGGACCGAAGGTTGATTTTGATGTTTTTTGTTTTCTTGACCTTGCTTCAAATTATGAACCCCCAGATTCACTTGCAGAGTGGCTTGAAGCTGGTGAACAGCCTGTCCATATTGGATTTGATAGCCTTGTGAGTTTGTTGCAGCTTTCTCTATTCATGTTTAATATTATTTTCCCAGTTCTATCCCAGAGTAGCTTTGTGTAGGTTACATAAAATTAGAATGGGTGAATGCTAAGAGGTATGGTGGCCATCCACCAACTCATGCATTTACAACAATGGGATCCTTTTTAAAAAAACAAAATCTTTTCCTGATTTCTTTTATTGATAAGAGTAGTTTAGAGCATTATTCATTACTATTTGGCCATTATCGAAGTCTCTATTGTCTCCTTTTGATTTTTAACTTTTCGAGAGTTATTACCCTTATAAATAATTTTGCATTTTCTTGTTTAACACTTGTATTATACATATATGTACGTATTTACGTCTTAAAGACTTAGTACAATACACGTATGTTTTTTCATGTGTAATACACGTATTTTTTTACAAAATTTTCAATAATATATACGAAATTCAAGTATTATACACATAAAATTATATTAAAATATTATATAGTGGCATAACTTTTTAGTTCCAGAAGTTTAAGTGAGAAAATTTCAATTTTAGGGTGTAAAGTGAAATGAAGACCCTTTGTATAGCCGCATGGCTATTTTCTTTTAAAAAATTTAAAAATAAAAAATAAAAATCTTCCGAATAAGTGCTATTAGGCGGTTCCTTTTTTTTTAAATTCAATTTTTAAAAAAAAATAGTACAGCCAGGCGGCTATACCAAGGTCAAAAAAAACAAATAAATATACCCCTTAAGTTCTATTTACGGAGTATAGCCGAACGGGTATAGCCGAACGCTAGACTTGTAATGTGAGAAAATGTAAAGATATATATATATTATTCATACTACATATTAATTATTTATTAATATGAATTTTCTTAGTTAAATATTTTTTGTGAGGACTTATATATTATTAAATCTTAAGCCTAGTATGATATTATCCTTTTAGTTGAAAGATGACACCATTCTTGTTTTCCATGTGTAGAGACTTAGATTTGGTTTTAATTAAATCATCATTGCTATGCCACCTTACATGCTAGTAACAAGTGGTGTTGTGATATTATTGGCCAAAGGTGGATGACTCACATTATTTCCTTATCTTTCTATCTTATCTTTTGGTGGTGGTGTTGTGATATCATTATCCAAAGGGGGATGAGTCATATTATTTCTTTACTTCTATCTTATCTTTTGATGGTTTAAAATATTGTATATATAAATATTATTTAGATGCATCCATAGCCTCTCCTATAAGTATCATGCTTCCTTACTTCAATCATTCATTCCAATCCTTTAAGGTAGATTTCTACCATGAAGTAGTGTTAGAGAGAGAGAGAGAGAGAGAGATATATATATATATAAGGAAGAAAAAGAAACAAGATGAAGAGCGTGTGTGTTTGTCTTGCAATATTTCATACTTATCATGGTGAGTGGGGTTATGTAATATGTTCTAAAAGTTCGTATTTTGTGATAAATGTGAAAATCTATTTGCAAACTTCTCTCCATTTTCAAGTCAAGCATGTCTAATTTGTGCAATATTTCATACAATATGTATTGTTTGGAGTTTTTGTGAAGTATGTATTATTTATGGAACAAGAGAACTTCAGTGACGGGGTATCCGACGGATAAATGTACCAGACGGGGACATAGGACAGTGAGGCCAATAGGGGTCACGTACTGAGTACAATTTGTGAAGGATAACCAAGATATGAAGTAATGATGTGATATGATTTGGATTGTGTATCTTTTTATTATATTTTTCTAGAGAGTGTAAAATGACATTGTTTGACTGACATAGTACATAATCTACTCACTGAGTGGTGGTTCGCTTATCCCTCACCTATTTTGTTTTTCAAATCAATTAGTAGGTAAGACAAAGCCGAAACCAGAGAAGTTGGATTAGTTTTGAGTGGTAAACTTTTATTTATATCTTGTACACTTGTAAGATTATTATTATAATTTTATTTATAAATATAATGGTAACGTATTTTAACCAATTTTTCAGTCTTTTTATTTATTTCTTTCAATTCATGCACCCTGATTCGAGAATATTCTTTATTATCGGATCGGGTTGTGACATTTATATTTTCTATTTATAGCTTATAACTGTGCGACTCTACTATTTAAATTTCTATTTATAGAGTCTAGCCTTGCAGCTATACTTTTAAAATTTCTATGTATACAATATAGCCGACCGGCTATATATTGTATATAGATAGTACGGCCGAGTGGCAATACGTCTATAATTTCTATTTATGGGGTCTAGCTGTCCGGCTATCCTTTAAAATATTCTATTTTTTCACCAAAGAAACCATAATTAAAGTAATTAAAAAAGGCTAAGATATTACTTAATTACATATATTAAATAACAGAAGCTGGCCAAAGAAAAATGTAAAGGAAATAATTTTATATTAATGAGTATAACAGTACGGATATACTTTTAAAATATTTAGAGCATACAGCCGCGTTGCTACACTATTAAAATATTGTATTTAACAGTTATAGTCGGGCGGCTATACCATTATAATTTCTATTTATGGAGCACTGTAATATTTCTATTTATACCGTGTAGCCGCGCGGCTATACATTTAAAATTCCTATTTATGCAGCATAGTGGCTGTACTATTAATATATTGTATTTAGAGAGTATAGCCGTTCGGCTTTACGGGAAAAAAAAATTCTATTTATACAGTATAGCCGACCGGCTATACAGGGAAAATTTTCTATTATGGATTTTAGCCGACCGGCTTTACGGGAAAATTTTCTATTTATAGAGTATAGCCGCGCGGCTCTACCGTCAAAATTTCTATTTATAAAAGTATAGCAGCGTGGTGATGCGTTTAAAATTTATATTTATACAGCAGAAGCACATTGAAACACCATCACTTTCATGGGAACATTGCTTCAGGATCGCCTGTGAAGTTGCCGGAGCAGTATCATATAGCTTCAATCCCCCATCTTCAAGTCTTCTAACATTCTTTGAGACCACAGAAGTACAAGGAACCATTGAAAGATCAGTTCCCCTTGACAAAACTCACTTAACCACAGAAGTACAAGGAACTTTTGGATACATGTATTTAAAGTACTTCCGATGAAGTAAATTTACAGATAAAAGTGACACCTACAGCTTTGGAGTCACTCGTAGAAATATTAACTGGGAAAACCCCATTTTCTTTTGCTAAAGATGACGGGGAAAATCTGGTTGCTTCTTTCATTTCACTGACAAGGGAAAACCAACTTGTTCAGATTTTGGATCCTCAAGTGGTTCGAGATGCAGAGATGGAGCATGTTGGAGCAATGCTGAGCTTGCAACAAGGTGTTTGAGGTTGAATGGGAAAAAGAGGTCTAGTATGAAAGAGGTATCAACAGAGTTGGAAGGATTGAGGAACACTCAAAGATGCCTAGAAAAGTTCCAAGAGCCTCACTCATTCAAGGATGAAACAACATTCATGCACTCTACCAGTGAAACCATGAAAGATCATACAGAGGAAAGCATTCTCTGAGCCAGTGGGGCAAGTTTCCCTTTGCTCCAACGCAAGTTGTGGGGCCATTAGTTGATAGTAAATTGCCCTTTGCCATACTCCTACTTCTACTTAAAATACTAAATTCATCCTCATCATACTTCTCCCTTCGGAAACCAAAATGAGATGTCCTCTGTGCACCTAATAGGCCTCTGGAGGTGTTCATTGCCATTATTGCAAACATAAGCCGGCTGGAATAATGGCCTCCTCCAGGCATTACCTCCTCTACACGCGTCAACATTGCCAAATGAAAGTCCGGGTTCATATGCTGTATTTTATTTCCAGATTCCTGTTTTTGGACCCAAAAAGTAGTGGTAGTCCAAAGAACTGCCTTGTGCTATCGAGTACTTGAATTGAGGAACGCATATGCCACTCAAAAGTTTTGACTGTTCCTCTTCCCACCGCTCAGCTAAGTCCCTTCCACCCTCCATGATGAGAAGTGCAATCTTGGATCCCTTAACATAGCATCCCAATTGTCCCTTCCATGTCTCCTCTTCAGACCACATGGTACTATATGGCTTATATTTTGTCAAGAAAACTACTCCTTTCATTGAAAGCTCTTGCTCGGCTTGCAATACTATCATGCACAAGCTTGTGTCTCAAATACTGACGATAAATGGCTCGAGGAAGACTGGAGTGCTGCATCTCGGATAAATTCTCTGGTTTCAATGACAGAGTTCTAGAAAGGAAATGCGCTGAAGCAGGTATTGGTTGCACATCCTGCAGTTAAAGGGTTTTCTGATAAGGATAGACTAGTAACAGAGGAGATTATTGTTCTGGTTGATTATTTTTGCCTCCCAACTGAAGAATTTCTTCTTTGTCCTGAAGCTATAGAAGCCGCCGCCACAGGCTGTGTTGTCACTGAGCGAAAAATGTCACTGGTTTTTTCTTCTGAAAATAGCTGGAATCAATATTCCAAACATGAAAAGTAAAATAAGATTAGTTGACAGCCAAATCATCCCCAAAACTTCAAACAACAAGACTTGCAAATCTCACCTGCATACACTGTTTTTTTGGTGTAATTTCCTTGGAAAATAGAGGACTAACTTTATCATCATCTTTGCAGCTGTCACCAACTTCTAAACATTCAAATGCATCTTTGTGTAACCATGATGCATGAGTTTCTACTCTTTCAATTCACACAGCGGACATTTCTGGAGGAGACAGTCCATGCAATACAGTGGCATTATTTCTGCTAGTAGAATCCAAGGAGTCCCACATAGTTTTTGGCGCAGCCAGGTCAGGTTGCTTCTGAGAGCTCAAGTTTAAGTCAACATTGCATTCCACAGTGCCACATGAATCTGCTAGTAAGAATTCTTTTAGATAAAGTATTGTAAGTTAAACACAATGTGAATTGATAATGTTACTGGTTCAAATGCATTCCTAGAAATTAATGAAGTTCTACCAGTGGGGATAACAGACAAGTCCAAATAAGGAAGTGATCTGCCTAAATGAGGGGTTTCTGTTGCTTTAGGATCAGCACTTGATAAAACTTGATAAACTTTTATTTATATCTTGTACACTTATAAGATTATTATAATTTTATTTATAAATATAATGGTAACGTATTTTAACCAATTTTTCAGTCTTTTTATTTATTTCTTTCAATTCACGCACCCTGATTCAGGAATATTCTTTGTTCTCGAATCGAGTCGTGACATGTAAATTTTTTATTTATAGCTTATAGCTGTGCGACTCTACTATTTAAATTTCTATTTATAGAGTCTAGCCTTGCAGCTATACTTTTAAAATTTCTATGTATACCGTATAGCCGAGCGGCTATACCGGTAATATATTTATATAGATAGTACGGCCGAGTGGCTATACTTCTGTAGTTTCTATTTATGGGGTCTAGCCGTGCGGCTATCCTTTAAAATATTCTATTTTTCCACCAAAGAAACAATAATTAAAGTAATTAAAAAAGACTAAGATATTACTTAATTACATATATTAAATAACAGAAGCTGGCCAAAGAAAAATGTAAAGAAAATAATTTTATACTTTTAACGAGTATAACCGTACGGATATACTTTTAAAATATTTAGAGCGTACAGCCGCGCGACTACACTATTAAAATATTATATTTAACAGGTATAGTCGAGCGGCTATACCGTTATAATTTCTATTTATGGAGTATTGTAATATTTCTATTTACAGGGATATACGTTAAAAATTCCTATTTATACAGCATAGCAGCTGTACTATTAATATATTGTATTTAGAGAGTATAGCCGCCCGGCGTTACTGGAAAAAAAATTCTATTTATACAGTATAGCCGATCGGCTATACAGTTATAATTTCTATTATGGAGTACAGCCGGCCGGCTTTACGGGAAAATTTTCTATTTATATTTATAGAGTATAGCCGCGCGGAGCCGCACGTCGATACTGTATCCAGCAGAAGCACATTGAAACACCATCGCTTTCATTGAAACACCATCATTTTCATGTGAACATCGCTTCAGGATCGCCTGTGAAGTTGCCGGAGCAGTATCATATAGCTTCAATCCCCCATCTTCAAGTCTTCTAACATTCTTCTAGACCATAACTGCAGTGCTAAATTATCCAACTTTGGGACTTCAAAATCAGTTCCCCTTGACAAAACTCACTTAACCACAGAAGTACAAGGAAATTTTGGATACATGGATTTAAAGTACTTCCGATGAAGTAAATTTACAGATAAAAGTGACACCTACAGCTTTGGAGTCACACTCGTAGAAATATTAACTGGGAAAACCCCGTTTTCTTTTGCTAAAGATGACGGGGAAAATCTGGTTGCTTCTTTCATTTCACTGACAAGGGAAAACCAACTTGTTCAGATTTTGGATCCTCAAGTGGTTCGAGATGCAGAGATGGAGCATGTTGGAGCAATGCTGAGCTTGCAACAAGGTGTTTGAGGTTGAATGGGAAAAAGAGGTCTAGTATGAAAGAGGTATCAACAGAGTTGGAAGGATTGAGGAACACTCAAAGATGCCTAGAAAAGTTCCAAGAGCCTCACTCATTCAAGGATGAAACAACATTCATGCACTCTACCAGTGAAACCATGAAAGATCATACAGAGGAAAGCATTCTCTGAGCCAGTGGGGCAAGTTTCCCTTTGCTCCAACGCAAGTTGTGGGGCCATTAGTTGATAGTAAATTGCCCTTTGCCATACTCTTACTTCTACTTAAAATACTAAATTCATCCTCATCATACTTCTCCCTTCGGAAACCAAAATGAGATGTCCTCTGTGTAACTAATAGGCCTCTGGAGGTGTTCATTGCCATTATTGCAAATATAGGCCTCCTCCAGGCATTACCTCCTCTACACGCGTCAACATTGCCAAATGAAAGTCCGGGTTCATATGCTGTATTTTCTTTCCAGATTCCTGTTTTTGGACCCAAAAAGTAGTGGTAGTCCAGAGAACTGCCTTGTGCTATCGAGTACTTGAATTGAGGAACACATATGCCACTCAAAAGTTTTGACTGTTCCTCTTCCCACCGCTCAGCTAAGTCCCTTCCACCCTCCATGATGAGAAGTGCAATCTTGGATCCCTTAACATAGCATCCCAATTGTCCCTTCCATGTCTCCTCACAACTATCCAAAGAAAATCCAACTCCTCTTCAGACCACACGGTACTATATGGCTTATATTTTGTCAAGAAAATTACTCCTTTCATTGAAAGCTCTTGCTCGGCTTGCAATACTATCATGCACAAGCTAGTAACAGAGGAGATTATTGTTCTGGTTGATTATTTTTGCCTCCCAACTGAAGAATTTCTTCTTTGTCCTGAAGCTATAGAAGCCGCCGCCACAGGCTGTGTTGTCACTGGGCGAAAAATGTCACCGGTTTTTTCTTCTGAAAATAGCTGGAATCAATATTCCAAACATGAAAAGTAAAATAAGATTAGTTGACAGCCAAATCATCCCCAAAACTTCAAACAACAAGACTTACAAATCTCACCTGCATACACTGGTTTTTTGGTGTAATTTCCTTGGAAAATAGAGGACTAACTTTATCATCATCTTTGCAGCTGTCACCAACTTCTAAACATTCAAATGCATCTTTGTGTAACCATGAAGCATGAGTTTCTACTCTTTCAATTCACACAGCGGACATTTCTGGAGGAGACAGTTCATGCAATACAGTGGCATTATTTCTGCTGGTAGAATCCAAGGAGTCCCCACATAGTTTTTGGCGCAGCCAGGTCAGGTGCTTCTGAGAACTCAAGTTCAAGTCAACATTGGATTCCACAGTGCCACATGAATCTGCTAGTAAGAATTCTTTTAGATAAAGTATTGTAAGTTAAACACAAGGTGAATTGATAATGTTACTGGTTCAAATGCATTCCTAGAAATTAATGAAGTTCTACCAGTGGGGATAACAGACAAGTCCAAATAAGGAAGTGATCTGCCTAAATGAGGGGTTTCTGTTGCTTTAGGATCAGCACTTGATAAAACTTGAGCTTCATCTCTTATCAATGCATGGGTTTTTCCTGGTTTACATAGAGTTGCAGCTTCAGAAGAGGAGTCTCTAGTATCACTACTTTTTCTTAAATGATCCATGCAAAGAACTTCAACATCCATTGCACTTTGAGCACTCTGGCCAAGTACTTCTCCAGCCTGTTGTAAGGCGTCACTGCCTGTCTTTTTGTCATCATGAAGTTGTTCTTCTTCATGCATCAAACTGTCCCCATGAATGAAGTAAGCAATTAAAATATAAGAAACCAATAAGTTCTGAAGTTAATGTGAACCTACATTTTAGTTCCAGCGGCAGCAGATCCAGCACGAGCATATGTAAAATCAATGATCCGTAACAAAGAAATTAGATCGGTGATTACAAATTACATGTACAGAAATGAAGTATCAGGTTAAGAATGCACATAATAGTGGAGTCAGTCAGCCACTTGAGGGCAACTAAGCACTAACAATGATGCACCTTTTATTCTGACCTTGTTTTTGTACATATGTATTATTATAGAATACATGTAAATGAGAATGTATTTTCCATGTCGCATCTTATTTTCTATTTCTCATTTCACATGATTCTGTTTGTGGTCATAGGCAGATACATTATTTCCAAATTGACAAAAGATAGGCTTCATGTTACATACCTCTCTGGAGTGCTTCAAATCTGCTTCATGATCTACTGAGTGAGCAGTTTTCAGGGGAAGTTTCTTCATAAGAACTGGTATTAGTACAAACAGAATTATTCAATTTGGTTATCAATGAGCAGCTATTTTCCACGGGCAGTGATTTCCTTTGCATATTAGACTCATCCATATCCTTTTTTCTTTTATTCCTTCGGCAGAAAGTAATCAATGGGGTGGTCAACTTGTTTCACGCAAGCTGAATCACCACCTAATTTATCTAACTTATTTCTAGAAAATGAATCAGTGTCTTCTAAGTTTGATGTATTCAATCTTGGCGAGCTACCATCACATTCAGTGCTGCTTTTTCTATCAAATACTGCTGCTGCTGCTGATGATTTTTGTCTTACAAAATCAGCAGTAATTATAGCGGAATTCATCACTAATTGAGAAACTAACCTCCCTCCAACATTATTATCATCAACCAATGCTCCAGCATTAGCATTTTAAGATGAGCCTACTTTCTTGCCACTAGGCTTATTCTCATATGCATCCCTTTGGGAAGGAACCTCATCAAGACTTGTCGGAACGGTTTTAATTGGTATTTGTCCTGTGCCAGATACTTCAATGTGTTTCTTTTCCTTATGGGGCTTATCTAGGCATTGGAGATTATAGGACTGAAGGCATTTTCCACAGTGCTTCAGGTTACCCCCAACACAGCACACAAAACATACATGGCATACCTGCAAGAAAAAGAGGCAGGCGAGACAGAATATAGCAATGACCAAACACCCAAAATGAGGGTTGAAATTATAAAAAAACCCAAGCACTATTTAAACATATAAACACACCCAAAACCCATCATTACATACACTCAAAACTCATTTATAAACACACCCAAAAAGTTGACTTTGGGGTTGATTTTGGGTGTATTTCTATGTTTAAATAGTGCTTGGGTTTTTTTATAAATACATGTCTAGGATTGGGTTTATTTATAAATTTGTAAAAAATAAATTATAGGTCTAAGACAACTAAGAGAAGATCTTCATAAAAACCTAAATTAAAGAACCGAATCTAAATGTTCATCTCAACTAGATACGCTTTCAAGGGTCGGTTGAATAGGGCACATTATGGTGGTATCTGGTAATCCCTTGAAACCATTTTCCTTTTCAGAATTTTTTTCAAGAACAAAATTATTAGAGGAAAAATAGGGAAGGATGGATTATTAAATTATCTACATAAAGATGATTGACATACAACGTATATCCCTATGAAACAAACTAAAAAATTGAACAGGTTCCAACTTTCTAAAATCTCACTGCAGAATTTCTGTTGTAATGTTCTGATGAACACTTATCAATCAAATGAACTTGCAAGTCTGGTGGTTCGTGTAAAGAAGTATCATCGGGAGCAACAAAAAGTGAATTACGGCACTCATGTCCCTGTACAGGATCTGTTCTTGATTGCCGCTTTCGCTTATACGTCAGCAACACTGTGCTTCCTGACAGTTAAGCTTTCAAAAAGAAATCTTGCTGCAATTCCAAACACTTGGACCGCATTTTTCACATGAAATTTGTATTTATTCCACTATGTTCAGTCTCATTTCAACACAGAAAAACCTGCATATGTTAAGGAAGAATATCCAATTAACTAAACAGCAACTCATGACTCATATAGTTAATACAGTTATGAGTAGCAACACAGTGATAGCTGAAGGGCAAAAGACGGATTTCGACTACTCTGAAATAGTGAATCACTATTACGAGGAATGCGGCAAACAAAATTTGTACTAACATTCTCCCCCTAAAACACAGGCAGTGAGGTACAAGCATAAATCCCATTTGCATATTAAAGAATAAGCAAAGCAAGAGAAGCTAAACGCATGCCATTCACAGAAATGTTTAAACTTCAGAATCAATTTGAATTCAAGTAGCCTAACGCATGCCATTCACAGAACCTTGTTATTGGCAAGACCATAGAAACTCCATGATAGGACAACTTCATCATTTCCTTCCACAGAAGACAGACACCAAGTCAGCAAATTTTGTATTTTTTTCTTCTGCACCATGTCGTCAGTGCGAAGAGAGAAGAATATGAGGCGCGAAACAGGGAGAGGAATGGAATTAGATGAATTAAGAGTCTCATGATCTCTTCTTCTATGGACCTGACTTGTGCTTCACTGCTTCGGCTTCCCAATCTCAAATTTGCAGCTATGTTTTTTCAAATTCGGGTTTTAGACTTCCAGTCAATCGCAGTGTTCGAAAAGTCGAACTAGGCGGGCGGCTAGGCGGCTAGGCTGGAGCTAGGCTGCTAGGCTGGCGCTAGGCGGTGGCTAGGCTGGCGCTAGGCGGCTAGGCGGTGGCTAGGCTGGCGCTAGGCGGCTAGGCGGTGGCTAGGCTGGCGCTAGGCGGCTAGGCGGGCGCTAGGCGCTAGGCGGTCGCTAGGCTGTTTAGGCAGCTAGGCGGTGGCTAGGAGGCTAGGTAGTAGCTAGGGGGCGCCTAGGCGGGTTGGGTCTTTTTTCGGTGCCGAACTCGGAGGAAGAAGCAGTGACTGCGAGAGAGAGTTCCGTTCTCTGCGAGTGCAAGCTTCGTGTTTGTTCGAATATATTTAAAGAGTATAGCCGTTCGGCTATACTTTTAAAATATTCAAATGTAATTTCAAAGTATAGCCGTGCGGCTGTACGGTTATAACTTCTATTTATAGAGTCGAGCGTTGCGGCTATAATGGAAACGTATCATACAAAAGAAGACGTAACATCGAAAGGAAACTTATCATACATGGTCATTTCAGAATCCTCATGGTGGTTTTGGATTATTAAGCATATCTTATTACATGGGCTTCTTCTTGTTCTAGCAATAGTATGTTGATAATATTGGAGAAGCCTCAGGAATATGACTTGATGTGGTAGAAATAGACCAGCTTGACCAAATGAGAATACAGTATGCTGATTATTTGCTGATATGCTCTACGTTTTACTTGTTTGGCAGATTGGGGACCGAAGGTTGATGTTGATGTTTTTTGTTTTCTTGACCTTGCTTCAAATTATGAACCCCCAGATTCACTTGCGGAGTGGCTTGAAGCTGGTGAACAGCCTGTCCATATTGGATTTGATAGCCTTGTGAGTTTGTTGCAGCTTTCTCTATTCATGTTTAATATTATTTTCCCAGTTCTATCCCAGAGTAGCTTTGTTTGTCCTTACCCTAGAAAAATTACTTGTTCCTTCCCAATTAAAACAATCAACCAAAGCCACAATCTCCAAAGAGTGACCACCTTCATGTTGGTCCCCAACGAACAGGTTGTGGAGGTCTATTCATGACAGATGACAAATCGACCCTTTGGTTGTTAGTCGTTCAATATCTAATTTGACTGAGGCATGTCTAATACATGCAGAGTATACCTCTGAATTGCATAGTTAAGGTTACTTGATTGTGCATTTGATTGAAATGATAAATTGTCTTGCTTGCTAAATTTTTTTTATCTGTATTGTATTAGCCTCTTGAAGAACCAGAGAACATGACCAATATTATTCTTCAAGCTCTGGAAATAACTGGACAGAGAGGTGTCATCAACCGAGGCTGGGGTGGCCTTTGTATTGTATTAGCATCTTGAAGAACCAAAGAAAATGACCAATATTATTCTTCAAGCTCTGGAAATAACTGGAAAGAGAGGCGTCATCAACCGAGGCTGGGGTGGCCTTTGTATTGTATTAGCGTACAATGAGCACTTGTAGCTGAGGACGTCTTAACTGATATGAGTTAGAAAAAACTGATACAAGTGCATATGAGTTAGGAATGATCGCAAGTAATTTATGTACATGCATATCATTCCTAGCTGAGGACGTCTTAACTGATATGAGTTAGAAAAAACTTTTCTACGTACATAAATTACTCCAAATATAATTGGAGTCTAAAATTTAATTTTAAACTTTAGTGTCCAAGAAATTCTTGGGTGCAAGTGTCATATCGTCATATAGTGTTACAGTCCACTTATATTATAACACATGTATTTATTAACATTATATTTTAATTCATTATCCACCTAAATTATAGATTCTTTATGTTTTATTCATTTTTTATTCGATTTTACCCTTTTTTTAAGGACCTTTTTTTATTATTAAGATGAGCGATAATATACTAAATTCACACACATTATATAAATACTATAACCAAAACCCATGACCTTTCTTAGAGGGGGAACAATTGCGCTAAACCACTACATTAGTGGGTTTTTTGCATTCAATTTTAGCTTATAGTATGATGAATTTGCAATAAAGTGACCCAACACACATCTCCGATGTAGTTCTCTAATCACTTAGGGCCAGTTTGGCATTGCTGTGCTGTGAAAATAATCGATGTCAGATTTGCTGTGAGAGAAATCAGCTGTGAAAGAAAGCAGTTTGACGTTTGGTAAAATTTTTGTTGAAAGTGTTGTTGGTATTGATTTTACGCAAAATCAGAAAATGATTGCTGCATAATCATTAAACCCAACACCTATTCGAAACTGATTCCTGCATAATCAGAAAATGAAAGCACCTCATTAGCTGCTTTCCCTTATTGCTTTCTCTCACAGCAATTTTTAATAATAAGTGATTTTTTCGCAGTTTACCAAACAGGTTGGGCTTCTCAAAATTTTTTAAAAATCACTTATCACCCCAAATAAGCAATGCCAAACTGGCACTTAATCTACATATCCTTTGTAGTTAATCACTTAATCTACATATTCTGTTAAACTTTTATACACAAGGAAACTCTTATCATGGATAAAAACAAATAATTTAAAGCCTGTTGCAAAATACCACCCAATAAGAGAGTTCAAGGAGTACATAAACCTGCCATGAAGAGGATATGCGGGACCCGTCATCATAGTTGCCCCAACTTGCTTCGGCCTTGTTCTTTCAAAAACAAACCTTGTCAATGCGTCTAGCCCGGATCTGAATTCAGACATTAATTTGTCCAACTGCATTAGAAAAACGTAGCCTTCAAGTTCAACACAAACAAATATCAATAAAGAGAGTAACAGATTTGAGTTCATGACCTACAAGGGAGAGATAAAAGAGATCAGTGAGTCACTGACCTGAATTTCATTAGTTCTCTCTAGATCATGTTCGTTGTTCAACGGCCGTACAAGCATTCTCCATCTGAAAATAGAGCTCGAATGGAGGCTCGTATCTATATTGGCCATTCATACTGTACAATTAGTGCCTCCAAGCCGCGCGGCGATACTCGGTTTTTCCCCTTTTTAAAAAAAATATATATATACTCAGTTTTGTAGAATTTTTTAAAGAAGAAATATTATAGAAAATCGGCTATACATGGTTTTTTAAGTTTTGTTAAAAGAAATAGACTAGCCGGTCGGCTATACTCGGTTTTTAACATTTTTAAAAGAAATAGTATAGCCGACTGGCTATACCTTGCTTTCCCAATTTTTAAAACGAAGTAGCCGCACGGCTATATGCTGCAAATATTTCGAATATTTTATTGGTACAGCCGCACGGCTTTTTCCAATACATAGATTCTACGAACTTTGGGCTGAATTAACAATACAATCAAAGTCACTTGAGGCGCTTTAGTTACAATTTTTACCTCGAAAGTTAAGTTACATAAACGACAACACTCTAAATCTGAACAAAATCTCAGTTGCCAAGAGACTTCGACAGTAAGAAAATCAGAATATAAACTTCAAGGGGTAAAATACTTATATATGAGAACTCATTCTGATTCTCAACAGGAAAAGAGAAAATCGAACCCAAAATTAAAACAACAAGTTTTGACAACAATAAGTTTCATAGCGGGTTTACATGGTATCAAAGTTTTTTCTTTTTTTTTTTTTTTTTCTTTTTTTTTTTTTTTTTTTTTTTTTTTATTATTTTTAAAAGTTTTTTTTTTTTTTTTTTTAAAAAGATTTTTTTCAACCAAAAAAAAAAAGGTTAACTTGTATAATATATTAATGTAAATATATTTTAAGTATAAGGAAAATGATACATGATCAAGCAAAAAAGGGAGAATGTTAGAGAGAAGGTTGCTAGCATTCCTATAAAAATAATAGGATTACAATAATTATTGTAGTTGATGGCACACATATCCAAGAAGCTACAATAGAGAAATACAAACATATACAGTTTTATTTCTCACAGCAACATTCAACTGGTGGGGAGGCAATAGTATTAGCCCCATCTTACTGGTCAAAATATTTTAATAGTATAGCGGCAAGGCTATTCTATATAAATATTTTAGAATATTTTAATAGTATAGCCGGTCGGCTATACTATGTGAATATTTTAATAGTATAGCCGAGCGGCTATAAGGATATGTTTTTTTTTTTCATAGATTCTACAAACATAGCCATGGGAAACAGGCGATCATAGATTCTACAAACATAGCCATGGGAAACGAAACTGCAACACGCTACTGTCAGTGAATGTTCAGAGATATCCACAATTTTTTCTCTGAAGATGTCCACTAACCGCGTGATCTGAAAATTAGAGCAGACAAACAAGATCTGGTACAAGGATGTACTAACACAATAAGATCGTCTTAAACAGTGCTCATAACCGTCAAACTAGAAAAGAACTCTGTTTTATCCCCAGAATTATCACATACAATACAACAAATATAAGGTAACATGAGACCTTAACAAATTCAAAGAAATTGCTAATCATGCACCAAGTGCATATGAACCCAATTACACTGTCAAACTTTGAGAGAGTTATGAAACTTGTTCCGTGTGAAGTGGCCGGCAACTGTGCCACAGATTATATAGGGATACAGAAATATGGCAAACCACAAGCGAAAGAGGGATAGGAATTAAAAGAAATATGAACCTGAAGAAATGGGGAAACAATATCTCTATTGTAAGTTAGCTCGTCCAGAATTATCTCCACCACAGGAGTTCTGCACCAAATCCAAAAAGTGCATGTATTTTCAACAAATAGAATACGGTACATGAGAGAGAGAGCGAGAGAGAGAGAGAGAGAGAGAGAGAGAGAGAGAGATAACTTTAACTCTCACCATCAGCTCTGGTAGTAGAACCTTGCATATCTGCAGCACTCGTCTTGTACACATCAAGCTCCGTTATCTGAAAAGGACCGAAATCAGTGCCAGTGCACAAACTGATTCTACAGATATTAGGGGCTCACCATGCAGGTATGCTTTCGTACCTCAAGTAAAGAAATTGCAGCAGCAGTATCAAAATTTTCAACTGGTTATTGTGCCGTAGAATTCTTTGAACATATCATTTAATCGTTGCATCCAGCATAGGTTTGATACAGTTTACGCATAATGGTCAAAAGAAATCCTTCATCAAGCTTTAGTAGTTTACTTTTCTCGACACCTACAAAAGGTAACTTAAATTGAGGGCAAGAGTCGTGGTATAAAAATCACTTAATAACCAGTGGACAACAGGCTCTTCAGTATTCATGGTTTGAAAGAGAAGGGGAATACCAGAAGCATGTTGAGTAAAGACTCTCTCAGAACTACCCATTTCATGGTATCTGCATATACTTAGATATCAATTTAACTTCATAGACACTGTTGCGTGGTCGAAAATCTCCTTTAAAAACATGAACTAGGTATTGAAACGAAAATCAAGACTCACAAGTAAGACCAAAAAATATGGGGAAATTCACATTACCATTTTATTTCTTTTATTCCATCAAACAAAGATCATGAAAGAAGGTGATGAACATGTGGGATTTGCTTTGAAGTCTAAAACCCATATGATTGAATTGGTTTCTCCAAGTATTTTGGATAAAATTATACCGTAACGTTGGCCTTACGAACGATGATGTGGTATGATAACCCCATATAAGTTTAGGGCCTTAAAAATCTTGTTCACATGATGACACACAACATAGGCAGAGGAAATTTTGCAACTATAACAGTCATTGAAACCATTAAATTAAGTAGCCTCGAGATCCGCAGAGAGGATAGGATTTCCATCAAGGTCTTCTGAGACAGAAATCATAAATGCCGCTACACGCATGTACCCTGTTTTACATCCCTCAAATCTCTCATAATCAATGAGTATTGCAATCTTGAAAGAGAGAACATGCTACTAGCTATATAAACTTCATGTTCTACAACAGTAGCTCTCATGGCAACAATCAAATAACACATGTGCTGACAGATACCCAAAATGATCAATCTCCATATTATATGTTGAAACTAGCAATTTAATATCTATAAAGTATAAACTAATGCAACTAGGAAAGTCCTTTTCTCTTAATTTTTTATTTATTAAATAGTCTAGCCCCACGGCTATACCTTAATGTAAAGAGTATCTCCGCGCGGCTATACTATAGTTTTTTCTTAAAATAGCATAGCCGCGGGCCATACTTATTTTGACACGTGAGACCCAGAGTCTTTTTTTTTTAAAAAAAATTGTATAGCCGTGCGGCTATACTGATTTTGACGCGTGGGAGCCTGATCGCAAATTTTTTTAATCGTATAGCCGCTCGGCTATACTCGGTTTTTTATTTTTTCATAAAAATCCTATGGCCGCCCGGCTGTACTTGGTTTTTAAATGTTTTTTAAATAGTACAGCCCCGCGGGTACACTTATGTTGACACATCAACGATCCTCTTTTTGAAAATAGTATAGCTGCGCGGCGATAATCGGTATTTTTTATTTTAAAAATAATATAGCTGCGCGGCCATAATTATTTTGACACATGATTTCTAACAGTCCTGTCTCTGGACTAAAACCAGTGAGTATCTTTTGTGCCTTACGATGTAACTAAAAACACTAATCACAATCACATCATTGAGTCTTATTGAGTCTTATTTACACAAGGAACCATTGGGTAAACACGTAGTACTTCTAGACCTCTTATTTACTCTTGCTTGCCTCCAGAAGAGCAACTTTCGAATGAGCTCCAGATATGGATAAATTTAATCCCTCCAAAGCTGCTCCATCAAACCTGCAAGAGCAGTTTCCCATGCCAAATACATATATATATATATATATATATCGGTATATCAATTAAAATGTTAAAGACATCGGGGGCAAGCCACTGTTGTTTACCTTAAGAACATTATCAATATTAGCATCACTAGCATGGCAAGCTATTCTCAGCTTCCTTTCCATGCTTTGTATACCATTTGAACATTGCAACTCTGCCTCCATATATGCATTCCTTTTACAATCCTGCATGAGTAGCCAATTTAAACGAATAAGGCCAGTATACAAGAGATGAGCTAATAAGATATACATATCCATATATACTGCAACAAACTATTTGTTATCACAAAGAATTCAATTATATATGAGGCAACAACAAGATTCTTATCTTTTTCTTCGGGATTTTTGGGACGGTGAAAAGCAGACTTATACACCTCAAGAGCATAATCATATGCTGTTCAGACACCCATCTTCTTCGACACTCTGCAGAGTAAGATTAACACATCTACTCTCTTCAGATAAGACACAGGGCAACATATATTATTTATGTAACCTCAATGAAACGGCACAAAGAAGCTAACCAAGACAAAAATTTATATAGCACGCATCCAATTCCAGTTGGTTGGTCAACTGCATTAGAAAAACTTAGCCTTCAAGTTCAACACAAACAAATATCAATAAAGAGAGTAACAGATTTGAGTTCATGACCTACAAGAGATAGATCAAAGACAACAGTGAGTCACCGACCTGAATTTCGTTAATTCTCTGTAGATCATGTTCGTTGTTCAACGGCTGTACAAGCATTCTCTATCTGAAAATAGAGCTCGAATGGAGGCTCGTATCTATATTGGCCATTCATACTGTACAATTAGCGCCTCCAAGTCCAACATACGTTATACATAGAGAACATAATTCAAGAGTAGCAGTGCTCAATGTGCCTAGAATGTCATAAATAGCTAACAAGCGTAACCTAAAAGCAGATAATGCCAGTTTAACAGTACATGTATGAATTGGCAAGCAAATTCTTGAAAATAAAAGGTCAAGATTTCTCTCTCTCTCTCTCTCTCTCTCCTCTCCTCTCTCTCCTCTCTCTCTCTCCTCTCTCTCTCCTCTCGAATGCGGCAAACAAAAATTGTACTAACATTCTCCACCTAAAAACACAGGCAGTGAGGTACAAGCATAAATGCCCATTTGCATATTAAAGAATAAGCAAAGCAAGAGAAGCTAAACGCATGCCATTCACAGAAATGTTTAAACTTCAGAATCAATTTGAATTCAAGTAGCCTAACGCATGCCATTCACAGAACCTTGTTATTGGCAAGACCATAGAAACTCCATGATAGGACAACTTCTTCATCATTTCCATCCACAGAAGACAGACACCAAGTCAGCAAATTTTGTATTTTTTTCTTCTGCGCCATGTCGTCAGTGCAAAGAGAGAAGAATATAAGGCGCGAAACAGGGAGAGGAATGGAAATTGGAATTAGATGAATTAAGAGTCTCATGATCTCTTCTTCTATGGACCTGACTTGTGCTTCACTGCTTCGGCTTCCCAATCTCAAATTTGCAGCTAAGTTTTTTCAAATTCGGGTTTTAGACTTCCAGTCAATCGCAGTGTTCGAAAAGTCGAACTAGGCGGGCGGCTAGGCGGCTAGGCTGGAGCTAGGCTGCTAGGCTGGCGCTAGGCGGTGGCTAGGCGGGCGCTAGCGGCTAGGCGGGCCTAGCGGCTAGGCGGTCGCTAGGCGGGCGCTAGCGGCTAGGCGGTTAGGCGGGGCTAGGAGGCTAGGTGTAGTAGGCGGGAGCTAGGCGGGTTGGGTCTTTTTTCGGTGCCGAACTCGGAGGAAGAAGCAGTGACTGCGAGAGAAAGTTCCGTCCTCTGCGAGTTCAAGCTTCGTGATATATTTAAAGAGTATAGCCGCGCGGCTCTACTTTTAAAACATTCGAATGTAATTTGAAAGTATAGCCGTGCGGCTGTACGGTTATAATTTCTATTTGATGCGGATGATAGGTTTCCTTTGGATGATACGTCTTCTTTGTATGATACGTTTCCATTATAGCCGCAAGGCTCGACTCTATGTGAGAGTTGGGTTTTGGCATGGGAGGCAACACTTTCCATTTCATTTCACCATCCAGCATATAAGCATCCCCGTAAACCACCTGAAAACAGAACAACTGAGGCTATAAGAGACCATGTGAATAATTATTGCCACTTCTTCTGTTCATCATGCCAAAGTAACTGTGGCTATGGTGACTAAGTACAAATCGGAGATTGTGTTCTAATGAAAAACACAATAATACAAGCCCTGTTAGAAGATTGACCCTCTTGACCACCAATAAGAAAGAGGCGATCACTCATCACAACACAAGCCCTGTTAGAAGATTGACCCTCACGGTGAGAAAACATTAAAATAAACCCACAGGATTTCAAGTTGCTGAGAGGAAATTTTTCAAGTGAATGAAATTGATGGTAAAGACAAACAAACCTATGTGGTCCCCCACGGGGAATGGGTGCTTCTTTCCACCACTCTTTCTCCAATGCTTGGCCATCCTTCACAGCAATACTCCAGTGATCCACACTAGGCGTATGGCGGTTTTCTTTGCTGCCACCCATCACATGGAGTCTGCCTCTCCACAATTGAGTTGCTGGAGCATACCTGCAAATTATCATGTTAAATCCTATCATCTAATATAGCTGTCAAATTTATGGGATTACTTCACATAAATTTCAGCCACTAATATAACTCTAATGGAACTTCATTAGATCAACAGTTTGAGAGTCAAAGGAAGAGCATTCTTGACTCTACTCTTAACTCTTTTAAGCACGTCAAAGAAAAGATTTGTTTCTTTCCCAACTTTTACAGCTACCAACAGTAGAGCACAAGGAATAACGTCAATAAGAAAATAGCAATTTCTGGAGTTTACATGGTCTGCAAAGTTATTTGATAGAAGGTAACCATGCAGATAAGAGAAGATATCATCGGACTCAGTAAACCAAGTTAAGGACTAGCATGTTAAGAGTAGATTGAGTAAAGAAAGATGAAGCAAGAGGTATAATGTATTTGTACAGTGTAACATGCAACACGAATAACACAAAACCTAACCAAATTAGATACCTGGGGGAAGGTAATGGAAGCATACTGCTCCATTTCTTTGTCTCTGTGTCCAGCACAAATATACGAGCTGTAGGCCCTCTGCATTGGGGACCATATTGTCCTGATACCACATATATGTATCTTCCATCAGTGGCCACTCCTAAATGCGAATGCGCCATCTCTTTTGGGATATCCAATCTTCCCCCCCATGTATTGTCAGTGAAATTGTATAAATCAACATGAGAGTGCACCTATAACACAAATGCATAAGTGAAATAGTGAAAGTAAGATCACATTCAAACTATTGAATTGGTTTAACTTCATAAAGCATTCCAACATCTTATGACCACCAGTTATTAATCTAAAAGAAGAGCGCAATAAGTAAAATACAAAACTTCAAGCAAAATAGATGAAGGTGTTAATAAAACCCTGCTCCAAAGTGCTCCAAACTCAAATTATACATGAATATCAGACAAGCAAAAAGATAGACAAAGATCCTCACATGGTCAATTGTGCCATATCCTGCAAACACGTAAAATATATTCTTAATCTGTATTGAAGAGCCATCGAGACGAGGCACCGGTGTGGGCCTCATTTTCTCCCATGTTAACTCAGGTGCAGCTATATCAGCAAAAGTTCCAGATAATAATCTCACCGAAGCATGTTCCTTTTTGTCTTTGAAACTTCCTTTCTACATATAAGAAGAAAGTTCGTAAATCATAATTCATAACCAACCAGCAACTACCAAAATGCCAAACAAGAAATGCATTTGAATTCTCAATATTTCAATTACTTTGGGCTGAGAAAACAACATTCCCCCTTAACTGGATTGAAAAACGATATTCTGATAAGTTTTCTAACTTTCCGAAATCCAAAATAACATAAGTATAAGAGTAAACAATAAGTTATCCATTTTTCTTAAAATTTCCTGCTAACCCAGAGATTCCATAGGAAACAATATGCTTATATCCCAACAACAACAAAAAAAAAAAAAAAACAAATATAAAAACACCAACACAAAAGGGAATTTAAAAAATTGGGCATAAATAACCTGGGTCAGCTTCATTGGCGGTGACATTTGGTACAACCAAGGTCCCAGATTTGTCAAGCGCACAAATTGGAAAGAAATTGGAAGAAGAATAAGGCAGAAGAAGAATAGGAAAAGAAGCCCACCGAAAATCTGCAACGAGGGCCCCTCCGAGCAGACATGCGCAAGATGTGAGAATCCCCATTTTGCAGCAGAAGAGAATGAGTGTGATGTTGGGTAACCTGGACATTTTTTCATCCAACCCCTAACGCGGGTAAACCATTTATAAAGATAAGGGAGTGCTTGAAATTGAGAGAGAAGAAAATAGTTGCACTGGATTCAGAGGAGCAAAAGATTTGGGCGCCCAATGGTTTCCATTCACTTTCGCTCCATGTGCTTTAGCTTACTGTTTTCTGGCTTTCCTTTTCTAAATTAAATTAATATTTGTATGGTATGTTTGCTATTTCCAATGGGTTTTTTCTATGACTTTCGACGCCCAACTGTCAAGAAATAAAATCAAGGGCAGGGCTTTGATAAATAAAAGATCAAGGCAGGGCAGTACTCCGCATATGCCAACTGTTGTCTGCTCATGGACGCGTTAACTCCGACCGCGTCCATATTGGCCCACACTGTACCACAGGCCTCGGTTCGGTCCAACTGTCTAGTCCTTTGTTCGACAATGGCCAAGCCCAATTTTGATCAATAAGCGAAGAGGTAAAAAAAAACACACACATCAAGGCACAATAAGGGCAAATCAGAACACGACCTTCCGGTTGACAATATAATCAGAACGGAAACCATTTTAGTAAAAAATTCATTGTTTTGTCCTAAAAAACATATAAATATGGTATCTTAATAAATTAATCATGACTTAGAAAAGTAATGATTTTCAATCGAACAGTGAATAATTTGTTAAGATTTTGTTACACCCACCCCGAAGATTTTGTTAAGAGACACAAGACAGTTGTGTGGTATATATCTTTCCATGGTCCGGGATAAACGCCGGTACATTTAGAAAGAAGACTGATGAAGTCTGCTTCGAGAAGATCATAAAGCAAAAGTTGAAAAGCTAGAGGTGAACTTTCAATGATCCTAGAACCAATGTCTTATTTTCTCCATCATATGATTACAAAGTTGATCAGTGATTGAAAGTGCCTATCTTTGTCATGAAAAACAGGTGAAGAGAAAGCCCTTTTATAGCATTAGTTCAGCAATCAAAGAAACATGGGAGCTTACATGTGCAATGTAAGTGCCACTGCTGGGAAAGACATTTATCTCCTCCCTGCTCCTCATGTGACACCGAGCATCTTTACAGAAAAGAGAAGAAATAATGGAGATTCTTCGTTGAACATGTCAAGATGTTGCATGACGGTTGGGAATTCAATGATTGCCGAGTATCCACTGCATGTTTGTAAATGCTGCATTGCTCAGGCTTTAGGTGCCCAAAATTGTGGGACTGTATCCATGTCTCCAATAAAGAAGGAAGATATAGAACTTGTATTTTTTTCATAAATCATATACGGGATGGCAACTTTTGTGTCTGCGTGCGTGTGTGTAAACCTTTCACCCGGTGATGCGTATAATGTCACAAGGTCTCTGTGCTTAAACAATTAGTAGTGCTTTAGCAAAACAATTAGTAGTGCTTTAGCAAAGCATGTGAAAGTATTGTATATAGTGGCTGTTCCTGGAAAATATAAGCATCAGTTTTGCTCACTGCTATATGTCGATTACTGCAGGGTTGTCTAAGCACCTGCCATGTTCCATTACAGGTAATGGTTAGATGATCACGGCTATATAGTTTCTAGGAACATCTGGAAACCGCTTCAGCTAATGGAGATTCTACAGATGATTCATTTTATTCTATTGTACAGAGAATTGTTTATTCTTTGTTCCTTTTGTTGCAGCCTCGACAGAGAATTGTTTAATTTCCGACAACAAACCACTTGTTCAAATCTACATCAAGACGTACTCAACTAACTAGGATTAGGTCCAATACGTAGTACATTGAGATCAAAATCATAATCGTAAATGCTAGATTGAGTTACGTGAGTAGCCAAGCAAATAGAGTAATAAGTGCCCTAATAGGCTTACGTTCGAGGCTTGAGAAAGGTTTTTGGAACAAGTTTGGAAGTTAGGGTTTTTGGTTTGAGACTTGGATTTGGGTTTGGGGCTAAAATAAATTTTTGGAATACTAAAAAGTTTTTTTCAAGTCCATAAAAAATAATAATTAATACGATTTATTAAGTAATTTTCTGAAATTAATTAAAATATTTAACCTAATTATTCACCTAAATAAATAATAACAAAACTTATTACTAATTAAAGTAATTTAAATAAGACTATATATATTAAGTAACTAAACAACAAAAGTTATATTTAAATACTAACATAAAAAAACTAGGTAATTCAGGGTAGACAAGTACCGACCCGCGTTTTTTTTTTTTTTTTTTTTTTTTTTTTTTTTTTTTTTTTTTTTTTTTTTTTTTTTTTTTTTTTTTTTTTTTTTTTTTTTTTTTTTTTTTTTTTTTTTTTTTTTTTTTTTTTTTTTTTTTTTTTTTTTTTTTTTTTTTTTTTTTTTTTTTTTTTTTTTTTTTTTTTTTTTTTTTTTTTTTTTTTTTTTTTTTTTTTTTTTTTTTTTTTTTTTTTTTTTTTTTTTTTTTTTTTTTTTTTTTTTTTTTTTTTTTTTTTTTTTTTTTTTTTTTTTTTTTTTTTTTTTTTTTTTTTTTTTTTTTTTTTTTTTTTTTTTTTTTTTTTTTTTTTTTTTTTTTTTTTTTTTTTTTTTTTTTTTTTTTTTTTTTTTTTTTTTTTTTTTTTTTTTTTTTTTAGCAAATGTCAACAGTTGAAGGTGTTTGGGCCCAATTTCCAATAGTAAAAGAGTACATGCGGAAATTGATCATCTTATCACCACAAATCCCCTGAGTCATAGGATCTTAGGGAGAAACACTTACATGAAATAAGGATAACGCTATTTTGTTATCCTCGATCAACCATGGTATGTTACGCGTGATAACCAATTGTTGATTCATCGAAATAGTAAAACAGTGTTATCCCATTCCATACAAATCTTTTTGGATCTTAGGGGGCTAAATTTTTAATTTGATATTTTTTTATAATGGGTTAACTTATGTATGTGTTGCAAGTTTATGAACAAAAGAGTAGGCTATATGTAAAGAACTACGAAACTTTTGATATACTTAGTGTAGCCAAGAAGTGTTTTTTTATTATAAACACGTCTTATTTTAATTAGAAATGTGTTTTCTAATATTTATAGAAATAGTCATTATGCATTTCCAAACACACCACTTTGAGATACGTCGCCCAAATCTTTTGGATCGAATGACACTTTGGACGCTACCTTTTGTCACGGGATGACTTTTTCGGAGTCTTCCTTTCATGCGGCCTTAGACTTGATCGCCTCTCGAACAAGCTAAGTCAGCCTCCTTCCTACAACACAAGATCGAACCAAGCAAAGAACAATCGCAAGAGCAAGAACAGTAAGAATGCTTAACAGAGTTTGGGAGAATATATGCTTGTATTGATACTCAAATGCTTTACAAGTTGTGAGGTGAGGATACACAATGTGTCATCCCCCTTATATACTGTCCCTATCCCACCTACCACCACAGTAGGTGGCTAAGATACAATGTCACCTACCAATGTCTACCAACTACTGTCACCAACTGTAGTCTACCAACTATGTCACCAACCAACTACTATACAACGAATCTGGACATGTGGGCTAAGAGGTCTAGCATGATCAATCCAACGGGTTGGGCCTTGAACATGCGGGCCGTGACATTCTCCCCCACCTAATCCGGAGACGTCCTCGTCGCCGCGATAGATCCTTCTCGTTCGAATGCTTCGATGATGTCTTTGTACTTCCACAAAGACTCTTCTTTCTCCCAGTTGCCTTCGGAATCTGGCAGGCCCTTCCATTTGACAAAGTACTCAAAGTACCTCGGTACACCCTTGCGTCGCACCTCTCGCTTGGCCATGATGCACTCAACCTCCTTGTCAAATGAAGTCACCATCAAAGGTGGAGCTCGTTGAGACTCTCCACGACTTGGCTCCTCGGGGTCGGCATGGTAGGGCTTGAGATTGCTCACGTGGAACACCGGATGAATCTTCAATCGGGGTGGTAGTTCCACACGGTAAGCAGCTCTTCCCACTGATCGGATGATAGGAAATGGGCCCTCATATCTCCTCAACAACGCCTTGTGTAACTTTCTAGTGGACTTGTGTTGAGAGGGGTTGAGCTTCACAAAGACCATATCACCTGGTTGGAACACAACATCTCGCCTATGCTTGTCCGCCCATTTCTTCATCTTCCGAGTTGCCTTCTCCAATTGAGCCCGAGCCAGCTCATTAGTCACCTGCCACTCCTTGGCTGTCTTGTATGCAGCTGGGCTACTCCCCGTGTAGCCTGACACCACTGTGTTCGGTGTCATAGGTTGTTGTCCTGTTGCCAACTCGAAAGGACTTGACCTTGTTGACTCCGACCGCTGCAAGTTGTATGAGAACTGAGCAACATCCAACAACTTTGCCCAATCTCGCTGGTTGGCACTCACATAGTGCCTCAGATTGTCCCACCTTGGAACATAGATCATCTTCCTTGTTGCATAAAGAACACCATCATCGTGCCAAAATCTTCTTGTCTTCCCATCTTTGACAATCTCCAACAGACTTTGGGGATCATGCAACAAGCCCTCTCGTATCCTCTGCTCCATGTCATTGAGCTTCCGACTCTTGAAAGCCAATGGGTGTCCATCCTGCATGAGTACACCACCAATAGCAGAATCTGATGCATCAGTGTGTACCTCAAATGGTTTGCTAAGATCAGGAAGTCTCAGGATTGATTCCTCCATCGGTGCCCTCTTCAACTCATCGAAGGCATGATCCACCTTCCTCCTAGGTGGTAAGGTTTTGGGCAACTCCTTGGGCATGACATCTGCAAACGCCTTAGGGATTGCCTCCACAGCTTTCGGGACGGGTTGGACTTCCTTCTGAACTATATCCATCTTCATAGTTGCAAGGAACGTCGGTTCGCCCTTCTTCCAAGACTTGGAAAATTGCATGGCTGACAAGAGCTTCGTCTCGCCTTGTTGCCTCACCACTGGCACCATGCATGGCATTGCTCCACCCTGTGCAATGCACATAGTATTGTAAAATGGAATGGGAATGCCTTTACCTTGTCCATGAACTCCATTCCAAGCACGACATCGTAGTCATCCATTGAGATCACGGAGAAGTCAGCTACTCCCTTCCAAGTGGCAATGTGTAGCTCCACACCACGAGCTACTCCATCAATCGGTTTGGCAGTTGAATTCACCGTCTTCATACTGCCTGCTTCTTTCGAGACTCGACACCCAAGTCTCTTTGCTTCCTGCACGGACATAAAGTTGTGCGAGGCACCTGTATCCACCAGGCAACGGGTTGTCTTACCATTCACCATGGCATCGACGAACATCACACCTTTGGCTTGAACCTGTGGTTGAGCTCCTTTGGCCTGTAGGGCATTGAAGCGGTGAATGGCCCCCATTCCTGCTTCCCTTTCGGCCTCCTCTTCCTTCTCTTGGTTCATAGCATTCAAGGCTTTCTTTTGCGGACAATCCCGCATCATGTGCGCTCCATCGCACAAGTAGCAAGCTAGCTTTGACTTGTCTTTCCCCTTGTCACCTTTGTCATTCTTCCTCCCGAATGACTTGTGACCGTCAGACTTGTCTCCAGACTTGCTACCCTCTTTTGGCTTGTTGTCTCCCCCACCGGATCCACTGCTATCTTTCTTTCCTTTGAACTTGGAGTCGCCTTGATCCTTCTTCTTGAACTCAACAAGAGACTCAGCTGCAGCAATCGCCTCTGACAAGGTTTGGACATGTCTCCTTTGTAACTCCAGCTTGGCCCAATTCTGTAGGCCACTCATGAAGTACATGAGCTTGTCTTCATCCATCATGCTAGGCACCTCGAACAACAGGTTGGTGAACATGGCGACATAGTCCTTCACGTTCCCAGTTTGCTTCAGCCATCTCAGCTTCTCCTTTGCCTCATACTTGGCATTCTCTGGATAGAAATGCAACATAATATCCTTTTTAAATTCATCCCAAGTCTCAAGTGTAAACGTACCTTGTTCGATCTCCATAGATCGACGACGCCACCACATGAGAGCATTGTCGGTGAGAAACAACGTTGCCGTGTTGATCTTGGGGCTCATCATCCTCGAGCTTCAGATACTTGAAATACCTTTCGATATTCCACAGAAATGTGTCTAGCTCCTTCGCCTCCCTCTTCCCATTATAGGATTTGGGCTTGAAAGAATCTAACACCTTGGGTTCCTTCGGAGTCCGGGGTCTTGTTCAAGACAGCTTCCTTGCACAAAGCCCAATCTCCCTTCACATCCTTCACCTCCTCACGAAGCGAAGTAAGCTCCGCTAAGAAGTGATCCAGCTTGGTTTGGACATCTAGCCGCATGCTGTCCAGTGCGGAGTTGAGGGCTCCTTGGAATTGGCCTTGAAGCTCATCCACCACAGCTTCGAAGCCACCCTTCGTAAGGACGTCCTCCTCGAGTCGCTGATCGAACTCGACCACGGCAATCTCCATCTTAGAAAGCCGCTTCTCCATCATGGCTACAACATCTCTAGATCGTTCCCTCTTTGATTTGCCCCCACGATCCATATTGACCTTGGACAGATCAGTCTCCACATCGGATCCGCTCTTCGACATGCTTCTTCGAATGATTCGAGCTTTCGCTCTGATACCAACTGTCACGGGATGACTTTTTCGGAGTCTTCCTTTCGTGCGGCCTTAGACTTGATCGCCTCTCGAACAAGCTAAGTCAGCCTCCTTCCTACAACACAAGATCGAACCAAGCAAAGAACAATCGCAAGAGCAAGAACAGTAAGAATGCTTAACAGAGTTTGGGAGAATATATGCTTGTATTGCTACTCAAATGTTTTACAAGTTGTGAGGTGAGGATACACAATGTGTCATCCCCCTTATATACTGTCCCTATCCCACCTACCACCACAGTAGGTGGCTAAGATACAATGTCACCTACCAATGTCTACTAACTACTGTCACCAACTGTAGTCTACCAACTATTGTCACCAACTGTAGTCTACCAACTACTGTCACCAACCAACTACTATACAACGAATCTGGACATGTGGGCTAAGAGGTCTAGCATGATCAATCCAACGGGTTGGGCCTTGAACATGCGGGCCGTGACACTTTGCTCCTCTTCCTTTGGCCATGTAAAGGCCTATATGATGCATCGGCTCCTGTTACGACCAAAACAAAAAAATACAAAAAAATACAAAAAATACAAAAAATACAAAAAATACAAAAAAAAACAAAAAAACAAAAAAACAAAAAAGAAGAAGAAACATGAGGAGTTATATCATTTAAGAAAAAAACAAGTAATATTTTATATATTTGAAAGAAATTGGTTATTTTCACCAAAAAAAACAAAAAACAAAAAAACAAAAAATTGGTTATACATTATAGCAAATTATTTCTCATCCCGTGTATCCAAAGTCCTTGGAGTTCAAAGTATCTGGCCTTTTTTTTTTTTTTTTTTTTTTTTTTTTTTTTTTTTTTTTTTTTTTTTTTTTTTTTTTTTTTTTTTTTTTTTTTTTTTTTTTTTTTTTTTTTTTTTTTTTTTTTTTTTTTTTTTTTTTTTTTTTTTTTTTTTTTTTTTTTTTTTTTTTTTTTTTTTTTTTTTTTTTTTTTTTTTTTTTTTTTTTTTTTTTTTTTTTTTTTTTTTTTTTTTTTTTTTTTTTTTTTTTTTTTTTTTTTTTTTTTTTTTTTTTTTTTTTTTTTTTTTTTTTTTTTTTTTTTTTTTTTTTTTTTTTTTTTTTTTTTTTTTTTTTTTTTTTTTTTTTTTTTTTTTTTTTTTTTTTTTTTTTTTTTTTTTTTTTTTTTTTTTTTTTTTTTTTTTTTTTTTTTTTTGGGGTTCAAAGCTTATAGCCGCACGGCTATACCTTGAAAATAATATATTTAAATAGTATAGCCGCACGTCTGTACCTTTAAAATATTCGAGTATATTCAAAGACTAGTCGTACGGCTATACCGTTAAAATAATATATTTAAATAGTATAGCCGCGCGGCGATGCTATTTAAATATACAATTTTGTCATGTTATTTTAAAATAGAACTTTAGCTAATTAGGATAGAGTTATTTCTTCAATTTTTTATTTTATTTTTTATACCAGTGATATTGGGGAATGAGAATTTAAATTCTTTCCGATACCTCCCATTCTAATGATTTCCAGCTATTAGTCCATTAGGCAAGAATAAAAAATGTATTTTATTTATAAGAAATAATACAGGTTAAACCCATAAATACAACAACAAAAATTATGGATCCACCAACATTTTGAGGATAAAAGAATCTTGAATTTCATAGTATAAAACTGCTTGTGTAAGAATTTACTTTCTAAAATGTATGCATCGTAATTATGAACTAAACCCAATGACAACTTTTTTTCTCATCAAAGAAGAGGGGAAAGAAACAGGCAAAGTGAGCTTGCACGTTTACAAAGTTTGTGAGTTAGAATTGTTCACCTTTTCTTTTTCTGTTTAAGCATTTGTTTTTGTCATAGTTGATGAGAGATCCTATTCTTTGTTTAATCTAAATTGTATACGTTGTTTTCTTTGCTAACTGATGAGAATTTATCACCCACCACCAGGCATCAAACTGATCAGATACTATCTCAATTTCTTCTCTTCATTTTGGGTATGACCATTGCCATGTACATCACTGTGCTTGCCATCTTTATCGTTGTATGCCAAAATTCGTGGCCAACAGTATTCTTGCTGATTCCACTTATTTGGCTTAATATCTGGTACCAGGTATGTCATTCTTTTTATCATGCTGTTGATATTTATCAGTGTAAGAACTATAATGTTGCAATGAATGTGTTCTTCTTGTTTAACAAATGTGTGTTAGACAGGAAAATAAAATATCTAGTTCTATGATCTTTGTCATGAATACTAGTACTATTGGTCAATCCAACTCTTGTTAGACAGATAATATAAATGTTTTGAACTGAAGCACCCCTATGCAGATATATGAATGTGCTAGACTGGAAAAGTAAATTTCTTGTTTGCCTCAATTATATGCTGAGATTTTGCTACTGTTTGGATTTTAGGGTTACTATCTTGCATCATCTCGTGAATTAACTCGACTGAATTCAATCACAAAAGCTCCTGTTATCCATCACTTCTCAGAGAGCATATCCGGAGTTATGACCATCCACTCTTGCAGAATGCAGAACATGTTCTCCAAGAAAATGTTAAACGGGTTAACGCGAATTTACGTATGGATTTCCACAACAATGGGTCCAATGAGTGGTTTGGTTTCCGTATGGAGACGCTTGGGAGTTTAGTTTTCTGCATTTCCACTGTATTCATGTTCTTGTTGCCAAGCAGTATAATAAAGCCAGGTACATCCTTCTTCTTCTTTTGGTGCGACACTTAACAAGATGTCATATCTAGCACTTGATTCATGGCCAATTATGATATGGGATGCCTGAGTATATAATACTTAGCGTATCTGATATAAATTAGCATCTTATCTTGGCACATCTGATATAAATTAGCTGCAGTATATGTTTGTCATCATTCACTCACTTAGATGAAAAAATGCCGTATGTTTATTCACATGAAATCTTAATTTTCTTGTAGAGCCTTGAACGCTGCCAACTTAAAGATGAGGTAGCTGCAAAACCTGATAAACTCAATTCGTTAGGTATGTGACTCTCCCCATTATATACTCTCTCTCTGGAACTGAACTGCTAGCTAGCATAAGGATTAGGTACTGACTGTTTCCATCAAATTAAGTGGCTGATGATGGCGACAACTGGAGCATGGGGCAAACACAGCTTCTCTGTTTGGGGCGAGTTATGTTGAAGCACAACCGGCTCTTGTTCATGGACGAGGTCACGGCTTCAATTGATTCACAGACAGATGCTGTAACACAAAGGATCATCCGAGAGGATTTTGTTGCATGTACAATAATCAGCATTGAAAATTCTCCTCTCTCTCTCTCTCATGCGCAGTTGAAGTTGGGTTTTAGAAATCAATTGCTCATCTCTCTCATGCGCAAGAGAGAAAAAACTCATCAAACTGAAGGGTCCGCTAGAATATTTAAAAAATTATATTTAAGCAGTATCGCCTCGCGGCAATACCTTTCGAATATATTCGAATATTTTAAATGTATAGCCGTTCGGCTGTACGCTGAAAATATTATATTTAAAAAGTATAGCCGCGCGGCGATACATTTCGAATATATTCGAATATTTTAAACGTATAGCCGGACGGCTGTAGTCTGAAATTATTATATTTAAAGAGTATAGCCGATCGGCTATACGTTTCGAATATATTCGAATATTTTAACAGTAACGCCGCCCGGCTGTACTCTGAAAATATTATATTTAAAGAGTATAGCCGTGTGGATAAACTGTGCGAATATATTCGAATATTTTAAAAGTATAGCCGCGCGGCGGTACTCTGGAAATACTATATTTAAAGTCGGCTATACGCTTTGAATACATTCGAATATTTTAAAAGTATAGCCGTTCGGCTGAACTCCAAAATACTATATTTAAAGGTATAGCCGCCCGGCTATACGCTTTAAATATATACGAATTTAAATTGCAGCCAGCTTTCTTCTGTTCCTATTCGAATTGGGAGTTTCTGAGGAAATTCGAAGTCTTTGGGAAATGGGTTTTTGTGATTGTGAATTTTTGATGTTAATCGAAAACCCATTGATGGGATTTTGAATTTGAAGTGATTGGATTGGTTCTAAGGGCCTCTCATGGGGAGATTTCTTGGCAGGTTTGTGTTGCCTCTGCTGCTGCTAACAGGTATTTAAATGAAAATGCCTTTTGTTCATTTGTTTTTATAACCATGTTATCGTAGTATCTGGATTATTTCAAGTGGATGTGTTGCACTTGACCCGCTGGTCTAGTTAATTGCAACTCAAAAATTTAGCATGCATTTATTTGGATTGGGGTGCTGATTTCCTTGTTGGGTTTTCTTCAGTTATGTTCTTATGGTAATTTAGATAAGCTAAGCCTGTATATTGTCTCTATTTCTTCAATGTCAAACCTTAATTAGGTTTGATTGTATTCATGCAGAAAATGCAACCTAGGAGACAAAAGAAAATGATTTTGGTGTTTTTGATACTGCTTCTTATTATATAGAATGCTGGAAATTTCTCGTATTTTTATAATTGATTTTTACTACTTCTAATTACACTACCAGTGAACATGTTCGGGTTCGATTACTGTAAAGCCATACAGCAATACAAGTTGGAGGAAAGCCATACAGCAATATTATATTTTCCAGTAGATTTCTGTTCCTTTTCCTTCAAAAACACAGGATGTGTTGGCGAGTCCTTACTTAGTTTGGATTTTGATTCCTTACTATGTTAGGATTTTAGTTACTTACCATTTATCTTGTCATATTATAATTGAGATTTATTTCCTATTATAATTTATATTTATTTTCTATTGTAATTTGGATATATTTCCTATTTTATTTAGGGTTGTACTTCTTTATAAATACCTCCATATTGGAGAAGAATAAAATATGAGTGAATATGAGCATATCTGAATATTTGCCCTACTTTGTTTGACTGGATGTATATGTATCAGTTGAACAAACCATGTCATGTCACTATTGTAATGACTTGATTTGAATATATTGTTGCCTTGCCACCCCTCCCCTACTCAAAAGGTTTGTGAAATGAAATATGCTTAAAACCAATTGCCAAAGAAAACAAAAAATACGATGGAAATTCAACCAATGCAACTCTCTACAAGTATCATTTTTCCGAAATCGACCCAAGTTCAATCTATGTGAATGACATTGCGGCTCTCCTCAAATCGTCTTCGTTTTAGTGAAGTGAGCAAATAGAAATACAAAGAACACAAGTGCGGCTGGAACATCAAAATTCCAACATGATATCAGTACGGACAAACGGACATCATTTCCACACAAGGCAAAACCTCCCAAGAAAATTTTCACCGGTGATCTTTCAACATACACTACTCATACACTGCCCGTCTCCTCCTCATCCTTCAGAGGTCTCATTTTTTCGTAGCTGCTACCAGAACCCTTTTTACCGACAATCTCAGGGATAGTGTCTTCCATAACCTTTAGGCTTGCAAAGTCGAAATCTGAAGCGGATATGCCTTCGTATATAGGATTTTCTTTTAAAAATGCTGCTATCTCATTTCGGGTTCTCACTTTTTTCCCCTTGGGTGTAATATAATAAGCATCCAGTTTGACTGGATGTATTGTTATAGCTTGGTTTTTTCAAGCTTTATCTTTTAATTATTATTTTAAGTTTGAAATCCTAGTTGGGATGCATACGCCAGAGTTTCTTCGATACTGCGTGCTCGTTAGTGGAGGCGCACCAGATTGTCTTAATTTTGATGTTTGGTAAAGTATTGGCTTTTCACTCGATAACTTACCGGTAAGTTGTAGTCTTTTCACTGCATCATTTACGTGTCGATTAAATATCGGCTTTTCACGCAATAACTTACCGGTAAGTTATAGGCTTTTCGCTCAATCATTTACCTGACGATTAAATATTGGGCTTTTCACGCCATAACTTACCGGTAAGTTATAGGCTTTTCACTCCATCACTTACATGATGGTTAAATATTGGCTTTTCACGCTATAACTTACCGGTAAGTTATTGGCTTTTTGCTCTATCACTTACATATTGAGCGAAAATTATCACACATGCATGCGCACTGATTTGATTGAAGTTGCCATTGTTTTTCGATCAATTTTAACATGCAAATACTAGTCATAACTCTAGGGGTTATTTTTTGTTATTTCAATCCCTAGTATGGACATGAATATATTAAATTAACAAAGACATAACTATTTTTCGGTAGAAAGGTTAAAGAGCGTGCTGTTGAAATTGCCAAGGCCATAGATGACGAAGATGGGTTGATAGGAGCATTGAATGCCTTTCATAGGCACTTTCCTCACAGTAAATCTGAGGATAAACCCGAGTCATTGCCTGCTAGAAGTGGCTTATTTTCCATCAGTAGGTGTTTTGGCTATTCCCATTTCAGTACACATCCCACGGCCTCTCCTCCACATTTGTAAGTTGGAGCAGTTTCTCTCTGTAATGAGGCTGACTTGAGTACCCTATAACAGTAAGAAAAGAAAAGAATACCCACAGATTCTCTTGTAATGACTGCAAAAAGATTCAGTCTCTAAGCCCCAAGTTGTTAGTGTGTCAACTAGCTGAAAATGCAGTTTTGTTTTAGTACACAAAATTGTATTTACAGGCTCCTTTTGCTCTACCATCCCCAACCAACAAACCACCAGTGATAGTGACATGTACATTTATCTTCAAGTTCTCAATCTTGTTGTTGCTATAACAATAATTGTAATAGACGAAGAATTTGCTAAACAGTTCTGTCTTAGTTTGCTAGACCACAGTTTGTCATAAAACTGTGCCACAAAAAAAAAAAAAAAAGACAAATATAATAAAAGAACAACTAAGGCAGCTTTGACGGGAAAAAAAAACAAAGACTAAGGGCGTTTGACTAAAACAACCAAAGTCATTCGAAGGTTGGAAAAAACTAAAAGGAGACAAGTCATATTTTTCCTTGCGTAGAGCTCATCGATATGAGTTTATAGACACGTAGTGGGCCCAAATCGCAGTTTTAACGAAGAAGTTACGGTCAGCGGAAGCACAGTGGCACAATTGTAAATATTTCAAGGTCAGAATTTTAAAACCCAGGTCAGCTTCTTTTTCTCTCTCTTTCTCCTACCACGACTCTCTCTCTCTCTCTCTCTCTCTCTCCTCGTCGCACAACAACATTTTCCGACGCTGAATCCGGCTTCGTCCGGCCACCGTTTTTGACGAAACGACTTGCAAACTTTTCCTCTCCTCCTCTACTTGACCCACCCAATTTAAAAAACCCGGGTCTCACCCAGGTGCAACCGCGAGATAAAATATATTTTTGGTTTTTTTTTTTTTTTTTTTTTTTTTTTTTTTTTTTTTTTTTTTTTTTTTTTTTTTTTTTTTTTTTTTTTTTTTTTTTTTTTTTTTTTTTTTTTTTTTTTTTTTTTTTTTTTTTTTTTTTTTTTTTTTTTTTTTTTTTTTTTTTTTTTTTTTTTTTTTTTTTTTTTTTTTTTTTTTTTTTTTTTTTTTTTTTTTTTTTTTTTTTTTTTTTTTTTTTTTTTTTTTTTTTTTTTTTTTTTTTTTTTTTTTTTTTTTTTTTTTTTTTTTTTTTTTTTTTTTTTTTTTTTTTTTTTTTTTTTTTTTTTTTTTTTTTTTTTTTTTTTTTTTTTTTTTTTTTTTTTTTTTTTTTTTTTTTTTTTTTTTTTTTTTTTTTTTTTTTTTTTTTTTTTTTTTATTTTTTGGAGATTATTTTTCGTCTTCTTCTGTGTTTTGTCAAAAATATCCGCCAATTGATCCTCGGATTTCACAAAAGGAAATGAAACACTTTAGCCTCAAGCTTCTGTTTGATGAAGTGTCGATCCACCTCAACATGTTTAGTACGATCATGCTGAACCGGATTCTGTGCAAGGGCTATAGCAGCCTTGTTGTCACAAAAGAGATTCTTGTAGATGTAGGTTTATACCCAAGTTCAGTAAGCAACTTTCTTAACCAAAGAAGTTCACAAAATCCCTTTAGTCATGCTCTGAACTCGGCTTCTGCACTGGATAAAGCTACTACATTGTTTCTTGCTCCCCATGTCACCAAATTACCTCCCACGAATGTGAAGTAACCGATGTGGATTTTCTATCTGTTACATTACCTGCCCAATTGCATCTGAATAACCATCAATATTTAGATGACCATGCTTTGAGAACATAAGTCCTTTTCCAGGTGCAGACTTCAAATATCTAAGTATCCGAAAGAACTGCATTCATGTGGTCTTCACTTGGAGAGTGCATAAATTGACTGACAACGCTCATTGCATAAGCAATGTCTGGTCGAGTATGTGACAAATAGATCAATCTTTCCCACTAACCTTTGGTATATTTCTTTGTTAGTTGGAACTTGATCGGATATTCTCCAAGATGATGATTCTGAAATAGGAGTGTCCGCAGGTTTGCAATCTAGCATTCCTGTGTCTGTCAACAAGTCCAAGACATATTTCCTTTGAGAGAGAAATATGCCTTGCTGCGATCAGAGCCACCTCAATTCCCAAGAAATACTTGAGTCCACCTAGATCCTTCATCTCAAACTCAGTAGCCAAATAGTCTTGTAGCTGTGATATTTCCTGTTTATCATTCCCAGTAATAATCATATCATCAACATAGATTATTAATGTTGTTACCTCCCTTTTTCGATGTTTCAAGAACAGAGTATGATCTGAGTTGCACTGTTTGAAACCATTGTTCTTCATTGCCATGGTGAACTCCAAACCATGCACGTGGTGATTGTTTCAATCCATACAATGCTTTTCGTAACTGCAAACTGTTCCAGTCTGAGTAGTATTATATCCAGGAGGAATGTCCATGTACACCTCCTCCGTGAGTTCGCCATGTAGAAAAGCATCTTTACATCAAACTGGTGTAGTGGCCAATCCAAATTAGCTGCAAGGGACAATAAGACTCAACGGTGTTTAACTTTGCAACGGGAGCAAAGGTTTCTTCATAGTCCATACTGTTGGTAATTTTAACAACAATATTAAAACCTTGCAAGTGCACAAATCAAATGATAGTATAGTAAGCAAGCAAGGGTCATTCCCACAGAGATTGTAATCTAGAGAGATGTTTATCAATGTCACGCAACGAAAACACAAGGACTTCCACACACACGCCAACACCAAGGGGGGTTTTATTTGATTTTGTGAATAAAAAAATAAGGAAAACAAAACAAAACAAATTTAAATTAGAGTTTAAGAGAAATTGGTTTATAATCAATCAAGAACAATAGCTAGGACTCACTATCCACCTCCAACCAATCAATCAATCATAAACAACAATAGATAATCAATTTCTAGCAAGCATATGATGACGACACTCACAACAAGATCATGGCATTTGACTCGAGTTGTATGATTCTCTCTTAAGTGCATGTAAAGTGTATGGCATTTACATCAATACGTGTATTCTTAATTGAAATCTAGTATGGCATTTACTCAAATTAACAATCAAGAATCCATTAAGATCAAAGAGAATATGAGTGTCACAAAAACCCTAAAACATGGCATTTGTTATTAGGAATTCAAGAATCGATTTCTCATAACTAGTTCTTAACCCATTATTCGTTGCAAACAAGAACACATTCAATATGGCAATTGACCTATGTTCTACAACAATTTAATTCCAATACATGCTTCAAAGTTAGCTACTCAAAGAAACAAAATATCAGAATTCACAAAACATAGAGAAACCGAAATCATCACACTTGTAGAAACTGAAAATCCATTCAAACTTGTTTATAGAATTGAAATCATGTTTAGGGCTTCAAGATTAAGCCCTAACTAACAAGAAATTAGTTACTCATGCTCTTGGATGAACTCAAAAATAAATACATAAGAACTGAAACTTAAAAGAAGAAAGGAAAAGAAAGAACTCGTTGGCAGCTTTCTCCTCTTACGCGGTTGATCCCTTTTGGACGTGAATACTCTGTATCGGGGCCTTGGCTGGCCTTTTATATCACTTATATCAAAGTTATAAACCCTAAAATTGACTGAGAGTCGTCCAAGAAGTCTTGGTAAACAAGGAATCCAAATAGGAAAGTAAAAATCACAATTCCTAACTCCACAGGGAAATACAGCTCAGCCCAATTGTCACACGATTTGGGGATCTTCGGCCTTGTAGAAAAATCATTAAAAATATATTTTAGAAAGATAAATGTCTTATCTTTCCAACCATATATAGCACGTAACTTGGAAAATTCGGGAAGGCTTCCGTTCTTCACATTCACGTAACATGTACGAAACTGTCTTGTCTGCACGTGGGCTAACTTTACTTGTAATACTGTACCAATTGGCTTGGTAGAAAATTCTAGAAAAATCACAGATTGAACTTCAAGATGTTAGCTTTCATCTCCAATTGGCCTTGCGCTAAAATTCCTCCAAAAAGTTGATTTTTCCTTAAAAACCTTCTAAGAGCGCAGAAAAGCTGAAAATCAGAAAAGTAAAGTAATAAGCCCTTTTTAAATCTAATTCTCCTACAAAACCTAAGTAAAAAGAGTACATAAATGAGTATATTTATGGACTTATCACATACCATAGGTCTGTGTGTACCCTTTTGCCATAAGTCTTGCCTTGTATCGCTCGATAGATCCATCGCGCTTGTGTTTTATAGTAAACACTCATCTACATCATATAGTCCTTTTTCCTTGTGGTATAGTCTCCAATGTCCAAGTACGATTTTTCTCAAGAGCTTTCATCTCCTCTTTTATAGCTTGGACCCACTTAGGATCTTTCAATGCTTCAGAGACCTTGGTTGGAATATGAATAGCAGACAACTGATGCACAAAAACCTTGAGTGGTTCAGACAGCTTCTCAGTGGATACATGATTTGCAATTGGATACTTGGATGTCTTGCCAATATCAGGTAAATAACGGTTTGGTGGCTTCTCACAATTTTGCCTGAAAGGTAATTGATATCCAATAGTTTTATCCTCTAAATGCACAAGTCTAGTAGGAGTAGTTACCTCAAGGATATTCTCAAGAGATTGGTCTGTTGGTACTGTTGAGTTAGAGGGGGCTCTTCATCTTGTTGTTCTGTATTGTCTGTAGGTGTGAGACTCGGATCAGAAATATCTTCGCATGGATCAAGTGGGTCAGGCAATTGATCGCTATGAATGGGCGATTGATCGCTTGTCGGCAGAGAGTAATCTCATGCTCTAGACTCAGGAAGATCAATCAATTTTGTACTGTCGGCAGAGAGATATTAGTTAGTTCTTAGCAGATTTGCAACCCCTCAATTTTGTACTGTAATTGGTAGAAAGAATTTTTGTTCGAGCTTTTTGTATTTGGAAATTTAATTTATTTTTTCACATGCATCTTCATCTTCTCCAAGATACAAATCAATAGATACTTTAGAAACAAGAAAGTGAATATCTGTACCAATCCCCTAGAGAAAAGATAAGAGAGTATAATTCACAGGGAAAGTTTCGACGTCCAACAACCAAGCTCACTTTGCCTCCAACCAAGACTTCTTCACCTTGAATCATCAGCACCAATACAATGACAATCCGTATTACAAAAAATGACCTTCAGTGACTCCACCCCACTCTCTCTTACAAAGAATTTTTCCCTATTTCTTCTATTTTCCACAAAACAATTTGAAAGGAATAAAAGTATATAAACCCAGGGAGACCATGATTATAGATTCCAGTGAAGCTATCTGCATGTGTTTTGTGATATTTTTAAAACATTGGTAGCCTTTATAGGTCACATTACAATGACAAGGATTTGTCCTTTTTTTCTGGTGAAATCCTATCATGGACCAACAATGCCAAAGGCCCAAGGAACAACAAGTGGTGCAGATGGATGGGAGTTTCTTTATGATTCAGGATACTTGTCCTTAAAATTGAGTTTCAGCGTTTCTGCCTGCATTTTGATAATTGAAAGCAAGAAATATTAGACTGGATTGGATCCACATAATTGAGACTCATCTGGACGAAACTGAGATTAAAGGAAAAAGTAATGAATGTGTCAATCGTAGTAAAGAGGTTTAATTCTTACGTATTTCAGCCAGCACTGTCCAAGTCTATGCCCATAGATATCTGGAGAATGGCAACAGGTTTCAAACGGGCAGTATATCCATATATTACATCTCTTTTCATTAGGCTTGGCACGTTATCAAGCTAAACGCTAACCGGTGAAAAGCTAAAGCTAAGGCTAGTATCTTAATTTAGAGATTCATCATAATCTGTATGAACTTCCGCATGGCATTCAGATGGAGAAATTATAGAATAGTACGGATGTACCACGTCAACGTATAATACTTTCATTCAAATTTTAACACGTGTCCATTTTTGAAAAGAAATTAATTACTTTATTACAACTGGACTTACTCTCCCTTGCTCTTCCTGTCAAATTCCTAGGGTGGCGTTTGTAGCACGTTTCAGAGTATGCTTCAACTCAATCCACATCGGCTGTGCCTTCCATTGATTTTTTGTTGCAAAGTGAGAGTGTACTAGACAGTGTTTGTAGCAAATTCAATGGTGCAAGTGAACAAAGATGTGTTGTGTTTGGGATTTGTGGATGCTAGGTTGTGCCCAAGTAACCCAAGGTGCTGACATTGTGATCAGAGCGCATCAATTGGAGGACAATCTTCTGCAATTTGATTTGGCTAATAAAAGACATGGGTTCAAAATAGGATTCTAAGGTGAATTGTGTGCTGAGCATCCGATTTTGAAGAGGAAGAGCAAGGAGATGGGTGGCACAAGTTGGGGGTTATGGGTGTTTGGGTTAGGGACGAAGGGTTGTTGGAAATTTTTTTTTCTTTCTTTTTTTTTTTTTTTTTTTTTTTTTTTTTAATTTATTTATTTTTTATTTTAAAGGTTAAGGTTAAGTATAAGTCTGTAATAAAGTAATTAATTTCTTTTCAAAAATGGACACATAGCGAAATTTGAATGGGAGTATCATACGCTGACGTGGTACATTCGTACTATTCTATAATTTCTCCTCTAGCAGAAACAATAATAATAATAATAATAATAATAATAATAATAATATAATAATAATAAATCTCTCAACATGACATTTGGAGTTTTGTAAGGGAAAATAGAATGTGAATTTGGGGGGGTTACTGCATCATGGACAAATAAGATTATTTTGACCAAAAAAGAAACATACACAGTTCACAAATAATGACCACACTTGCTTCCTCATGAAGAACTGTGGAATTTGACATAGAGTATATGACACAAGTTTACCATATCTCGAGAATATGACGTAGAGTATTGAATTAAAGAAGGATCGAATTGCATTGTAATCACAAACTGATTAGGTTCTCTAAATGAATTCTTTTTAGCTTAGGTAGCCATGACATACTGCTAGGTGTCACTCATGGCTTATGGAAACCATGTAAGAACTAAATATAATTAGCCTTTGCCAATAGGGATAATTGTATAGAGGGATACAATACACACTTGATTTAGAATGAATCATTCATACCCACTGCCTCACTAATTAGAACCTATAAGATCGCACAAGAAAAGGAATCGATTGGAAAATTTTGAAGAGAATGAATGATTTTTTGACTTGGTCAAAGTCAATATGAAAGTCAAAGATCAAAGGTCAAAAGTCAAACGGTTGACCCGACACTTGACACGGTCAACTAAGGATGATCGGAACTAACACTCATTAGAGAAGTGAATGATTGAATTAGTCAAGTCACTAGAGTAATTAGATTGATTAGATTAATTTAGTTATTCAATTAAAAG